CCTTTAAAGACCCCTTTAAAGGAACCCTGTTCTAATTATGAAGGCCCCTATATCCCTAAACCCTAAGCCCTTATCATAGCCTTTATAGAGCCCTCTGAGGAACCCTGTAAAGGAACCCCAAGCCTTATTCTAATTATGAAGGCCCAGAGACCCTAAAGCCTAAAGCCTCAACCCTAAACCCTAAACCCTAAACATCCCTAAACCCTAAATCCTAAACTCTAAACTAGCAGGCTATGGCCACCTTCGAAAACATGGTGGTGAAGCTGCCGATTGTGCGGTCGAACCCTCGCGAGAAGATGTACTCCGGTGTGAGCCTTGGAGTAAAGGAGGGGTTAAGGGTTTAGGGTTTAGGGTCTAGGGCTTAGGGTTTAGGGTTTAGGGTCTAGGGCTTAACCTTGCAGTAAAAGAGGATTAGTAACGACAAGGACATAAAGGGTTTAAGAAGGGATTTCGTACAGTTCAGAATGTAGGCGTTTGGAGTCTAAGGGTTTGGTAAGGGATCCATTTTTGTTGTTCCTTTGGTTTTGGTGTTTGGTCTGGGATGTTGGCTTCAGGGGGTTCTGGGCATGTACAGGGACATTCGTAAGCTCAATAAACCCTGAACCCTACACCTAAGCCCTAAACCCTAAGCCCTTATCCCTAAACCCTAAAGCCTAAAACCCTAAACCCTAAATCCTAAAACCCTGAACTCTAAATCCTAAACCCTGAACCCTAAATCCTAAAACCCTAAACCCTAAATCCTAAAACCCTGAACCCTAAATCCTAAAACCCTAAACCCTAAATTCTAAAGCCCTACACCGGCTGCCTGAAAGCCAAAGCCCCCCAGCCTGAAGTGTAAAGCCAAAACCAGTCAGTGCAGGAGCAAAAAGGCGCTGAAAGAATTCAACCCAAGGTGGACCCCTTTATGGATTTGAGGTTTAGGGGTTTAGGGGTTTAGGGGTTTAGGGTTTAGGGTTTAGGGTTTAGGGTTTAGGGTTTAGGGTGTAGGGTTATGGTCCTGAACAGCAGGGGGTCTAATCATCAGGGGCCTGGAATTTGCTTACTGCGATGGGGCGGGCCTACCGGACCTACAGCCTCAACCCTAAACCCTACGACTGATGTCTGATTCCCAGGAAAGTTCTGCTACTGGAGGACGCCACCTTCCTGAAGCAGAGCTTTTGGGACAATCAGGCCGCCGTTTGCTGAATATAACAGTATAGACTTGAGGCTTAGGGACCCAGTATAGACTTTCACTCTCTCATTACTTCAAAAAAGTTGTTTGCACTCGACACAACAATTGACGGCAGGATGCTTGTCCAGTTGTGGTTATGCTTATGGTGCTCATGCGTTCTATGAGTGATGCTGTCAAGGCCGTTACGCATACAGAGTAGGACCGTTGGCATATGGGAAGTTGTACACGAGAGGATCCTTCGTGCAATTCTTAAGAGCCCCTAGCAAAATCCTTGGCAATGACTCTATAAAGCTGTATGCAATTCTTCTCAACCCCTCCTGATTTAAACCCTAAACCCTAAACCCTGCTGATTGGATTATTGAACCCTTTTTTCCAAACCCTAAACCCTAAACCCTAAACCCTCAACACCTCGGATTTTGCCAGGTCGCCAGCTTCGAGAATCCCAGGGCGATGAATTACCAGAAGATTGCGGCCGGATGCCTGAACTTCGATGCGGACGATGTGAAGTCTTGGACGGGAGCCCTGGCAGCCCTGAAAGTCTTGGTTTAGGGTTTAGGGTTTTACGGGTTTAGGGGTTTAGGGGTTTAGGGTTTAGGGCTTACACCTTTCAAGTCAGGTTTACAGTAGAAGCCAGAAATTCGGGATATCAGGCCCCTCATGACCTTGAGGTAAAGTATAGGGAATCCCAGCACGAATCGTTCTAAACCCATGTTCCAACTTTCTGGGCATTACGATGCACCTCCGCTGTTTGTTTGGGGCCTACGCTTTTCGGAGCTGCTTGGTAGGGGTACTTGGAGGATCATGGGACTTAGTAAGTATGGTTATAAGTACTTCAATTGGGGTTATAAGTATAGTTATCCCAAGAATAACACTAAACCCTAAACCCTAAACCCTAAACCCTAAACCCTAAACCCCTAAACCCTAAACCCTAAACCCTAAACCCTCACTAAGTCCCATGATCCTTTCAGTAGGAGGCCGGGAGCAGTTCAGACTTTGATCGAGCCCTTGCGGGCCAGGTGTAGGTGTGACCCGGGCCCTCAGCTCCAGAACCTCAACAGGGTTTAGGGTTTAGGGTTTAGGGTTTAGGGTTTAGGGTTTAGGGTTTAGGGTTCGCCCAACATCAGAACTCCGCTCTTTCAACCTCGATCGCTCACTCCCCAAAATGGGTAGTTCTCTAAATTGGGGTCCCTGTTTGGGTTACGAAAACGGTGCGGGACCCTTATAACAAGGATCCTAGAAGGGACCCTTATTTGGAGAACTATCCAAATCCTGAGCTCTTTCCCTAAACCCTAAACCCTAAACCCTAAACCCTAAACCCTAAACCCTAAACCCCAAACCCTAAACCCTCCGAGGAGGGTTCAGAAGTCTGGACGGCGGCTGGGCCTACGACAACGCAGGCGCCGATGGACTTGGCGGAGTGGGTCTTGATCCAAGCGCCTTCCATCGATTGAGGCTTGAAAAGACCTACCCTTTTAGGGTGTTTCTATATATATATATAAAGAGGTCTTTAAAGGGTTCCATAAGGTTAGTATAATAAGAGCTGCTGCAAGGGTTTAGGGTTTAGGGGCCGAAATAATTAGAAGAGGGTTTGGGGGGTTCCTTATTATTATAGCATAATATACCGCAAATCCTATTCTGATTACGAAGGCCCCTATATTACCTGTAGCCGAGAAGTCCTACCCTTTTAGGATTTTTCTATACACAGTTCCTTAACCAGGTAGGTCTGTTGGGCCACAGGCGGGGTTTACTGTAGGGTTACCGGAGCAGGTTCAGGATTTTCTGTTTGTTTGGTCCACGCAAACGACGGAGTTTGAATGCGACACGGCGGCGGTGCACTTTATAGATGCAGGTCTGCAAACATCTTCAGGCATGCTGATGCACAGGCAGTATGAGTACTAAAGGGGCAAACGACTACGGACAGTAGCATAATACCAAATCCCCATACACGATGGTGCAATAATATTTGGACAAAGCATGCAGAACAGGCGATGCCATAGCCGCATGCAAAAGTAGCAGCAGAATACAGTGGTAACGCTGCTCGTGACATGGCCAGTAACGAAAGAACATGTGACAGCAAACAAGCAGCGTAGCAGCATCCCGCACATGTGGTATCTTCAGAAAGCTGCGACTAAATTGTTCGAACAAAAACTCCTGAAGAGCAGCGGTACCGCAACTGAAGCCTAGCATCGAATATCGAAACTATTGATACCGAGGACGGGAGCAGTGATGATAATAATGAAGCACGAAATCAGTGGAGCGCACGGTCACAAGACTAGTGGGAGCAGTGTGACCGAATGTAAACAGGTAGCACGGCAGCAATACAGCAACGTCATCATGCAGCGCTCAGGTGCCTTCACCCACGTTTCCATCTTCGGTATGTGTGCCAGCAAAGAGCAGGCAAAGTCCCTGTTCCACTTGCAGACGCGGAACCTTCCCCCGAATATTTCCATGACAGTCATTCCTGGCTCCCCATGTCTCTGGGTCCTTGTTGGATACAATTTTACATGTTTGTTATAAGAAAACCCCAATCAGGATTAAACATGATCATCTTTGTTATAAGAAGACCCAATAAGGATCAACAATGATCCTTTTTATACCTATTCGCCCCAACAAAGAACAAGTTTCCCAAAGCTCAGAACCCAAAACCCCTAAACCCCTAAACCCCTAAACCCTAAACCCTAAACCCTAAACCCTAAACCCTAAACCCTAAACCCAACAGGGAATCCCAGGTCTCGGGGCCCTGAAGAAGCTCATCGAAGACTCCAGCATCCTCTTCGCCAATGGTGGGAACCCAGACATGCTCCTGGGGCTGCAGAGCCAGGGTTTAGGGTTTAGGGTTTAGGGTTGAGGGTTTATAGGGTTTAAAGGGTTCAGGGTTTAGGGTTTAGGGTGTAGGGGTTTAAGGTTTAGGGTTCGGAGTTTAGGGTTCAGGGTTAAGCCACGGTTTGGGGTTTAGGGTTTAGGCCGAAATAACTATACTAATTATTTTGGGGGGTTCCTTATTTTTGTTATAGTAGAAGGGGGGCTTAAGTTACGGGTTCAAAGTCGGTTCCAGGCCCAACAGCCCTCCATGTCTCCACGGAGAAGCTTTAGGGTTCAGGGCTTGGGGTTTGCTCAGGTTCAGGGTTTAGGGTTCAGGGTTTAGGGTTTAGGGTTTAGGCTTTAGGGTTTGGGGTTTGGGGTTTGAGGTTTGGGGTTTGCGCCAGGTTTAGGGTTCAGGCTTTAGGGTTTACTCCAGGTTACTCCAGGTTTAGGATTCAGGGTTCTCTCGAGGTTTAGGGTTCAGGGTTTAGGGTTTACTGCAGGATTAGGGTTTAGGGTTTAAGCTCTAAGCCCTAGATCTTAAACCCTAAACCAGGGTGCCCCCCAGGTATGGTTTTGTGCTGAAGAAGTTCGCGCCCGAGCTCGGCGAGCTCATCGCCAAGCGAGTTCGGCAGGGGAGCTTGTTGCTCAGCTGTCCTACATTAGGGGTTAGGGGACCCTAGTATAGTACCGCCCTAAATGGTGGATCCTTCTTCTAAGGACCCCCCCCAAAAGGTACCCCTTATTTTCGGACACTGTCCTATCGAGAACCCGTCGGTTGTCGCAGTGAAGTTCAGGGGTTGAAGAAGAGCAGGAATGCAGTCCGTTCATTCATCTATACCTGCAAAGCGTTGAAAAATCTGCAAAGCAGTGCCTCAACGCCAACCCCTGCCCCCCCCAAAGCCCTAAACCCTAAACCTTAAACCCTAAACCCTAAACCCTAAACCCTGAACCCTAAACCCTAAACCTTAAAGCACAACGCCCGAGGTTCTACATGGGTCGGTCGGCTGGCGCCATGACGGCCAGCCGAGACTTCGGCTTGACGTACGAACCCAACCCGGCGCTCACGACGGTTCCTCGCACCACGGTTTAGGGTTTAGGGTTTAGGGTTTAGGGTTTTGGCTTGCCTTCGTGTTTAGACTTCGGTCGGATTCTTGGCTTGGGGGTTCTTTGTTTACTTGTAGTTTATAGGGGGTTGAGATTTAGTACTTAAGGCCTGGGTTCAGGGCTCAGTCGGACTTGTCTAAGTCTCTTCCATGGGGTTTAGGGTTTGGGGTTTAGCAATTCGGCACCAGATTAGCTGACCAGCCTGCTTCGCTGCTGAACTTGTCAATGATGGTGTCTGTCCTTGTGAACAGCAACTGCTCCTGAGCAGATTGCATAAAACAACAGTCTCAAGGCATCCCCGGGCTTAGGGTGACGACTGAATCTTTGAAAATCCGCAGAGACTTACCAGAGTTTCGCAACAGCGACAACCTGTGCGAGTGGAACCTCGGAAGCATCCCAAACCCTAAACCCTAAACCCTAAACCCTAAACCCTAAACCCTAAACCCTAAACCCTAAACAGCTTTGCTTCAGCCCCGAATGCCGAGCTTCCGCCTGCCGTGAAGTTTTCGATTTGTGCCCTAATCTCTAAGTCCTACTCCTTCGCCCAAAACCTGAAGCCCTAAACCCTAAACCCTAAACCCTATGCCCTAAACCCAATACCCTATACCCTAAACCCTAAACCCTAAGCCCTAAACCCTAAAACTTGAACGAATGAGGTTCTCCTAGACCGAGATACCACGGGGCTTTCCCTCGCCGGGGAGTGCGCGCTTCGGCCCCACATCCACGACCACCTCTGGGATATCCCAGCCAAGGCCTGGCCCTGCACCCCCAGGGCGTTCCTTATAAAAAATGCACAGATATGCACATATCCACATATATAAATAAACCTACTTATATGTATATATATATATATATATATACGTATATATATATATATAAATTATATATATATATGTATATATATATATATATATGTATATATATATATATGTATATATATATATAAGTATAAGTTTAGGGTTTAGGGCTTAGGGGTCTAGGGTTTGGGGTTTAGGGCTCAGGATTTATATCATCAACCATGGCGCAGAATGACAAGGGCATTGTATGCCGGGCTAAGTTCTCTTGCGAAGTTTCTGGGTTTAATGAATAAATCTTTGTAGCATTCCACCCCCCCGCCTCTGGAGTTTCCACTGACCCACTCCCACAAACCCCGAGCACTGAAGACAGAAATTTTCGAGGGTCCAAGTCGAAACTGTAGATTGTGTGTCGATCGATATCCATATGCATATTCTTTGAAAACCTCAGACTTTTGCCAGTTGCCTGGCGTAAGATAAAAGCATCACGAGCAAGAGCACGGCGACAAGCGGATGGAAGTCGAAAGAATCCGAAGCTCAGTGAGGACCATGGCGACATCGTTCGTGCCAGGATCTTACGCCCTGGGCCTCCTCTTGTCCTGAACTGCAATACCCTCAATCTTGGTTTAGGGTTTGGGGTTTAGAGTTTAGGGTTTAGGGTTTAGGGTTTGGGGTTTAGGGTAAACTCCCTTGTCCCTAAACCGCGTGATTCTTCCAACCCCGATTCCAGAAAATGCCGGATCGTCGCTCGATTCCTGGTGCAGGTCTACGCAAGGGCGACGGGCGAAACTGTGGTGCTGGCGGCCAACGGCGAGGGCTTGTTTTGCAATCAGGAGGGGGATTCCCTAACCCTAAACCCGGCTTTAGGGTCAGGTTCGGGGTTACGGACTCTGATTCGGGTCCCTCCGTGGCAGTGTTTCCAAGCCTTCTGCGGTATGCGAGAGTTCAGCGTCGTTGCACATCAGGCAAGTCTGCCTGTAGCCGTGTTTGAATGCCAGATGCTCACAACAACGGGCCAAAGTCACCTCATCACACAGGCGCCTCTATGAATGTGTATTGGCTCAGTTTGGAGACAGCCTAAGTTTGAAACCCAACATCAAACCCTAGACTCCCTAGAAACTAAACCGAACAGGCTGAAGCATAATGCAACTAAACCCAGAGCCTGCCCCTAAACCCAAAACCCTAAACCCTAAAACCCTAAACCCTAAACCCTAAACCCTAAAACCCTAAACCCTAAACTCCAAACAAAGCAAACCCTAAAACCCTGAAGCCCAAAGAGCACAGGGATGTTGCGGCATGACCGGGAAGACGGAGCTGACCGACCCGAAGTCGCTGCTCCATCATGACAAGCACGCGAGTCGGAAACTGGGCTGCGGTAATGTAAGGGTTTAGGGTTTAGGGCTGTAGGGCTTTAGGGATTTAGGGTTTAGGGCAAGTTCAGGGTTTAGGGTTTAGGGTCCTTTTGTGTCAGGGTGCCCTACTATTTTGAGGACCTAACAAGGATCCTAATTTAGAGAACCACTAAATACTTCCCAATATTATTCCGTAGGGTTCCTTATTGTAGCTATACTGTAAAGGAGACCGACACCCCTATTCTAGCTGTTAAGGCCCCTATATCAGGTCCTTCAAGTCCATGCTTACGCAGGAATCGTTGTTCAAGTTCTTTTTGTTTTGGCAGTCGTTATTACTCTAAGATAAGACGGCCTAGTCTTCTCGTTCTTCTCATCCCTTCTTCGCGTACTTCTCCTCTTCCCCCTTCCTAAACCTTTTCACCCAAGGATGGAGCAAGTTTTCAAAGCGGCATACAGCAGCTACTTTCCCCAGAGCCTTCACTTCGGCGAGCAGCTTGCGAAGCCTCAGTGCCAGGCTCCTTACAGTAGGGGTACTTGGAGGATCATGGGACTTAGTAAGTATGGTTTTACGTACTTATTTGGGCTTAATGTAGTTGTAAGTGTAGTTACCCCAATAATAACCTTAGTGCCTATGTAGTTTTAAGTATAGTTACCCCAATAATAGCCTTAGTTATTAAGTCTCATGATCCTTTAAGCAGGGTCCCCAGGGTTTCGGGCTCTGGGTTTAGGTTTCCATGGAGGGCTTTTCTTCCATCGCACTTGGGTTTAGGGTTTAGGGTTTAGGGTCGAATCCTTGTGGCTTAGGGTTTAGGGAGTTTTCCGGATCTAGGATCGATGGGTTATAGGGTTAGAGGCACCCTAAACCCTAAACCCTAAACACTAAACCCTAAAACCTACACCCTGATGAGGATCTCAGATCGCGATTTCCGTGAAAGTCTCCCTAAACCCTCAACCCTAAAAGCGGCTTCCAGTGATTTCTAAGCCCCTAAACCCTAGACCCTAAACCCTAAACCCCTAAACCCCTAAACCCTAAACACCCTAAAGCCAAGATCCGAGGCAAGTGTTCGGGGTTTCCTCTCTACTTGGAGGGCCTTTGCTGCTGCTCTAAGTGCGGTTCTGTCAGTTCTGTTCAACAAGCATCTAGTTTAGGGGTTTGGGTTCAGGGTTTGGAGTTTTGGGGTTTAGGGGTTTAGGGGTTTAGGGGTTTGGGTTTAGGGGTTTAGGGGTTTAGGGGTTTAGGATTTGGGTTTAGGGGTTTAGG